TAAAAACATTTGGGAAATAAATCTCTTCTTATTTCATGCTTTTGCCAGTCCTTCTTTTTAAAGACTCGTAAAAAATGGTTTCTGCGTGCAACTCGGTGAGAAAGGCTCTGATGATTTAATGTGCATCGGACTGATTCTTTGATCGGTGGTATCGCGTGGTACAGCACTGTGTTACGGTGGACGGATAAGCTTTTTGAAATCGCCTAATAGCAAATACAAAGGAATTTTGCGCTCTATACAATTTTCCACTAGCTGAATTACTGCAAAAATGCGAACGACAGTGAAAAATCTTTTTTGGTGGAGTCTATATTTTCTCTTATCAGGTTTCATCAAAAAAAACTTCGACTAGGAGATAATTTCACTCGCAAAAAAGTCTTATATCGCATTAGTCGCAGAAACAATTCTACCTCTGTCGAGCTGCAGATGCCGCTACGGTCTCCTTTGTTCGACACCAGCACAGTTTTAAATCTCTTCCATCGTGTCTCTGTCTTCACTGATTTAATATAAACCGTCTACTGAATGCTTCTGCGATCCTTTTGTCTCTCATTCAAACTTTTTCCACGAAAATTTTGTCTAGCCCTATTGTTTCCCACCTTTAATCTCGATAAGATTTTCAGCTGGTGCAGAGGGATAAAAAGTGACCACTAATGAACTGACTAGTAGCTCTCAAGAAAAACCAGATTTTAGCGCCTCCTTACGGTGCCGGAGCAGCAGAAATTCGGTTACAGATGAAGTGCGGATATTTTCAAACGAGCTAGTTCTTCTGTCCGCTTTTCCTCTCCATTCTTTTTTAAAATACGAGAAAAAGGAGAGTTTTGCAAAAAATAAACCTTGTGTTGTGGAGGCTCGTTGACTGTTTTCTCCAATACTCATCCTGGGCTGCTGTAACGGTTGTGCCGGAAGATCAGGCAGCTGTGGATTCAGCTGCTGACGCTGTTTATGCAAATACACTTCACGATTGTGAAGTTGTGCCAGCAGATTCGAATCTGTATGCGATAGCGGAGGAGGTGTTTTTTCGAAGTGACTGAATCCAGAATTGCGGATAATTTCTGCATCGTTTGGAAATTTGAAGGTAGTGCGAGGTAGATTTAAAGCTGTATGTGATATCAAAGGCATATTTTGCCCCACCAACTGATCTGGCATCCCATTTATATATCGGTGGTACTCAGAAGGTCTAAGAACATATCGCTTGTACGGTATGTTCTTGAATTTGTTATTTGTTGTAGGCGCAACTGATGACGTTTGTAAGAGTGTTATCCGTTCGTACTGCATTCCCTGCATTGTCGGATCGCCATCTGCCTGTTGGGGTTTGCTAGTTTCTGGCAAGGGCTGTGCAACCGGCACCCTTACCACTTTTTGTGCCTGCATTTGAGGCTTGAAATCAGTTAACTCTGCGTTATGTCGCTGATGTAAAGTGCCATGCAGTTGTTTTTCGGCCGCATTTACATACGCATTTGGCAGTATACCGTTTGCGGTTAATGGAATTGTTGGTGTATGAGCGTAACTATGCTGACTAGCCCTTGTACCATATATATGTTGCACAATAGCTTGGCCCAGACTTACAATCGTTGGTTCGTCGAATTCCTTTGAAAATTCACTTCCTTAAAGCAAAAAAAAGCGTGACGGAATTTTTTGAAAAATCTGGATTCAGTAATATTATTCAGTCAAGGAATCAAATCAAAACATTTGTCCCACTTCAGCCCATCTACCCCGCATTCCGTTCTCTCTCTCGGAGAGAGACGGAGGCATTCGAAAGTGGACCAAGCGGTAGTATCTACCACAAAATTACAGCTACCCAATAGCAAGTTTATTGACGGTCCCTCTTTGGAGGATTATTTGACAGCAAACTAGTAGCGATCCCTTGACAATTGCCAGTATCAATCTACTACAGAAGCAAATGAATGATACACAGAGGAATCCTCTGTTCCACTGGCGAAGTCGAATTTTCGGAACTAAGAAAAATTTAATATTAAAAAAAAATTAAAACTTTTACCTCGTTCGT